GGGAGGGAGGGAGAGGAGGAGGGGGGGGAGGCTTCACCAAGTCAAAGCCAAAACATTTTTTTTTTCTGAATGAAAGCGAATTTTAAAAGCAATACTAAAAAAAAAAAAATGTTAACCTTAAAAAAAACAAAAAAAACGACACGATGGCCTCCAGTGTTTAGTCTGGTCCCAAGCGCGCTAATCTAGCACGGTTCAGGCTACACTAGCTATAACCAGCTAATGACAGCTTAGCGGACTTTGTCATAGGGGTGTCAGTGGGTCGCCGTGTGTCACTGCAATGGCATTTGTCACGATATAACACAACAAAAAGCAGGTCCTGTTTCATTTCAGCGACATTAAAGTGAGTTTACCGTCAATATGCACAGGCAAGAAATGAATGTAGTGCTCGTTTAATAGCCACTGTATGTTCTGTTGTGTGTGCAGTGACCTAACAGGGTAATTATAACCAACCCCCCCCCGTGTTTTTACGTCTTGTATCTGTGTTGAAGCCCTGTGAAATCAGCCTGTACACATTAAATGTAATATAAAGATAACACAAGTCACAAGCTGGTAAGGTGTTTATAACCAGTCATGTTTCACTGCGGCAACACTGCTCCTCCCAAACACTTCTCCAACTCTCTCCTGCTCAGTATTTACCTCACCTATGTCAGTATATAACACATAACAATACATAGCACGCTTCTCTTTAGGTATAACGCTCAGTAGGAGCTGGATAACTGTAAAAAAATAACAGAAATTAACTATAATTAACTCCTGAAACTGAAACTAAACATATAAACATTTAGCTAGAATGCATTGTTTTGGTTGATAACCGGTCACGTTGGCCGTTGTAAGTTTGTGCTGAATGCGTGTACAGCAAAGTCGGCTGCAATGTTTTGTTTCTCTGTAATATTTTCTATATGTTGCATATTATCAGGGAGGGGCAGCTGTTTAAAACGTACAGGACCATAAACATGGGCTTGGCTCAGAACTCCTAACTTTGATTTAGATTTACAGCCTACGTGAGCACTCGTGATCGACCGTAACTAACTTATAATAAGGATATATTAATAAAAGTGGATTTTTAAACGTGGGTTTCTATTAGTGCTTGTTGTTTTTTTGTTGTTGTTTTGTTTTGAGAGCGACCAGCGGCGAGATGAGGACTCCTGCGACCTTTGCGTACAGTTATCTCTCTAGATATTTTAGAAGATAGTTTGTGATGTGCTCAGTTATGTAAGTCACCCTTTGCAACAACTCAGATCATTAATCAAACCTGTCAATCATCTGTAGTATTTCTTATGCAGGCGCCCCACCAGCAGGTCTGATGAATGTCTCCTGAATCCACGTTAAAGGTTTTATGTTTTCATGTGAAGTGTGCGAGCAGACCTGGTTTACCATCTCTTTTTATTCCCCTTACAGTTAGGGAATTTTATATGATCATAGACGATTGAGCCACCCTGAATTGCCCTGTTATTTTGCAGAGATTTCACCTCCTAGCTCAGGCTTATGGTAAGTTCACATTTCATTAATTTTGTAGCGTGCACAGTCGAAATTCAGCCTGGCAACCACCCTGCTCACCTTCTCCAGCGTGTCAGGTTGCGATAAGGTGCACAGGTGACCAGTATATGACATCACGGGAGGAGTCCACTAGCTGATAATCTTATCTGAGTCAGCAGTCACTCCGCAAAGACTGAGGAGCAGATGAAACACGGTGTCAGTGAGAGATCGAGACAGTCAACAGGCTTATTTTTAACATTTGACAAGATCTTGAAGGCCTTGGCTGCGTACTGATGGAACTGTAGGCGTCACGCGGCGCAAGTCAATCTTCATAAGAGCCCACATTTGTCCTCCATAAAAGGAAAGATGCAAATGGTTCTAAGTGTTTCACAATTACTTATTTGCTTATGCAGGTTATTCACTTGTGGCTGCATATCATCAACATAAAGGCAACTGGGTAACATTTGTCATTGAGTCATGTAGTTTTTCATTGCGCTGAATATATTCTTGGAATATACAGTATTGCATTAGGCAGTAGGTCAATATTTGCTTTTAATGTTGGGGCGTTAGCTTCATACTGGAGTCAAGTTATTTATACGCATTAAAAAAAAAGTCTATTTGCATAAGCACATCAAACATACAGATGTGATGGGGGATCTATAGTAAAGCGGCAATGATTATCGATTAGTTGTTTGACGTAAAATTAAGTGGCAGCTATTTTGATAATCAATTAATTGTTCAAGTATTCTTTTCAGGAAAAATTCACAAGTTCCAGTTTCTCAAATGTGTTTATTTTCTGCTTTTCTTGTTATTTGATGATGGTAAACTAAATATCTTTAGGATTTGGACTGTTGGGTGGACAAACAGGACAACTGGAGAAATCACCAAGGAGTCTGGGAACTTGTGACAGGCATTTTTCACAGTTTGCTGACATTTTATAGATGATTAATTGAGAAGATAGCCGGTAGATCAGTCGATAATGAAAATAATTGCGAAACTATTATGTAGAATATCAATTTGGTTGTTGATATTGTTTATCAGATCTATTGAGAAGAGTAATGCCAGCAAGAAATCTGCTCATCCTTTCTGTCTCTGCTACGCACAGAATAGCCATCGTCACCTATATATGACGTTATTTACACTTTGAGATGATTAACAGACTTTGCTGAGTTTCTTGATACTATCTTAGTATCCTAGATAATCATTGTTTTACTTGTAAGTCAACTGTGAAGGAAGGTAATCTTGGTTTTGAGAAGATTTTAGCAAACTTCTGTCATGTCTGCACTTGGGCTGAGCTAATCAATTAATCACTAAAGCTGTTTAATCCAAAAAATTACAACACATATTTTCTGGTTCCAGCTTCTCAAATATGAACCTTTTCTGTGTTTTATATTATTTATAATTAAAGGTCCAATACCATGACAAATACCATGATACAGAGTGAACCCCACAGCACGTAATGTAACTAACATTAGCTATATGTATAAAGTTGCTGCTGTGTGGAAAACATGCAGAGAGGAAAAGACTGTTTCCCAAAGCCCGAACGCCCGGCTTCAGACCGCAATACTCACAACTCTCCTGCTACTCCAGCTGACATCACAACAACAGCACATCTTGACAAACTGGAAAGTAAGCTGTCCGTGGGCAAGTGATTTAATGTAACCTGACACACAAATCACGGCCGGAATAATAAGTTAGTGTTGTGTGGCTCGGTCCGACCCCGTTTATAGAGCCGGGGCTGTGTACGACTACCAGATTTTATTTATTTATTGTTTTTCAGCACATACACACAGAGCGGAGAGCTAGCGGACAAAAAAAAAAGTGTATTGGATTAGAATCACATAACCTAGAATTGCTTACCCCACCTTTTAATATCTTTGGGTCGGACTAAACGAGACATTTGAATTTGTGATACACAATTTCATAGACTAAATGAGTAATAGTTCAATAAAGAAATAACAGCAGGTTTATCAGTAATGAAAATAATCATTAGTCGCAGCCCTAAAGGCCTTTCCCTTCATGTGGTACCACCTCAGACTTTGAGTATGTTGGTTGTTGGTCTCCGCATTGTGTGCTTTTATGTGTTTGTCACAAAGGATTGCAGAGATTTACCAATGCCACCATTAGCCTAGTTTTGAAAACACTTGTCAAGTGTCACTTTTGTATTCACGAGCTTGATGTTTTGTAGAATTTTTCTGTCATCTCGCACTCATGAAGTCAAAAGAAAAAAAAAATGCATGAGAGCAAGTGGTACGGGATTGATTGCCATTGTGATTCAGGGATTGTATGGTCGACCTTGGAAGCACTCTGCAGCGGAGTAGTGCACAAAGGGGAGATGAAGAAATGGAGGGTCAATAAAGTGTGCTGAACTACTGCTTGTTGGATCTGTGCGCCTTTGTTCTGAGTGTAATAAAAGAAACGTAAAAAAAAAAGGAGACAAGGTCAGAGTTTGAGTATAATAAAGGCTAAAATAGTTTCAGCAGTCAAGATAAAGACATTTCAATATGTATAATACAAATTAATATCAGATGTGTGAAGGTGTGACTTTAGAAGTTGCCAGTTACACAACATGTCTCAGTTCAGGGTTGCCTGCTTCAAAGTCTGTATTTCAAGACTGAATACTGCATGACAGTTCAACAAGGCTGCTTGGTGGCTTCTCCAACTGTTAAACTAGAGCTGATGTGGTCCCTGCTCACTATTGTACCACTCACTCTGGGTTGATTAGTTTAATGGTGCATTCAGGTGGTTGTAAATGTGTGGAAATATCATATGATCGTGTCACATTCATCAGGTATTTTCCTTCGGGTGGTCACCAGTCAGAGTAAACGCTGAAAAAAGGACTTATGGATACTCGACTCTAGTATCTTTGACCTTTATTTGCTTATATTTACCATTTTTATTTACCATTTTGTTGTTGGTTTTCATCTGGTTGATGAATTCTAACAATTTTGAACTAACTTAGTTGACAAGAACTACCCAAATGTCTTCTGGTCTAGAAGTATTTGGCCCCTTGATTTGGGTTTCACCAGGACACATTTAAGCATATATAGTGTATTTATCACTCTTTTTGTATTGAATTCTTTTGCACGTCTTGTCCTGTGTGCTCCTTTTTGATTTTAAGTTAATCTTATGTAGGGTTTGGCGTAAAAGTTCATAGTGCAAGGTCCGTGAACTTTAAATCCATTTTTGCTAACTGAATAACCATTTCATCACCGCTGTAGTATTCAGTCCAACATTGCCTTCTTGTTATCAGTTTTCTGTGGAGGAAGGACTCTTATTTTGCCCTTGTGAGAGATTTATCCAGCCATTCTCAAGTGCTGCCGTCTTTAGTGGAACTGAACTGGCCACGAATCGCATGAAAAACACAAAAGGCCCTATCTAGAGCCAGTTGTTGGTTTGCGTTCTGGCTACTGTAGAAACATGGTTCAACATGCAACGTTCGTGAAGGCGACCCCTCCCTCCTGTAAATACCACGTCTCATTCAACGATTCTTATTTTCAAGTGATTATACATTAATGAAAACATATCTATGAACATTTGCGATGTACACTGGTTCTTTTAATGTACTCCTTCTGTCCTTCCTCCACAGCAGGGTTTACGTTAGCTGGAATATGTCGGTTTCTGGCCGGTATCACGTGCAGTTGTCCGGCAGAGGAAAACACCAATGGCCAAAAATGTCTGCTGGGAAATATGTCAAATAAATAAATATATTCTTTAATAGCATGTTGAACAGCCGGATACTGTGTGACCTATAAGATATATTGCCAAGAGAGCTTCAAAGGAACTGATGTCCGCTGTCATTGAGAGATTCACAGACTGATCTCTGTCTGTAGCCTGTGTGTGTGTGTGTTTATTTGTGTGTGTTCTTCGCTTTTCTCAACAACTGTTCTTCTTCACACAGACTTCACACTTTGCGGGTGTATTTCTGGAGACCCAAGTAAGTGTAGTATTGAATTTGGTGCAATTTGGACACACAACAGTCCAATATTAATAAACTTTGAATAAACAAGCGATCAGCGCTCTGTGCAGCAGCGAAGCGGCGTTTGAGTGCGACACGGTCCAGAGCATCTCTCCTGCCGGCTGCTGACAGCGCTGTCGGCTCAAGAGTCAATCACACAGAAAGGTATACGTGCAGTCGTAGAGTTTAAATCATCTTACTGCATTTACTGTAACATCAGAGCACCAAGCTGAGAGTCAGAAATGTGTCGCGCTGTCCTCCGTTTACATCTTCCCTCTCTGTTTCATCCCTCTTTCCTTCACAGTTATGTGTTGAGTGTTTGAGTTGTGTTGCTGTTTAAATGTAGTCTATTTAAAACGTGTCCGGTAGTTGTCCTAAACCGAAAGGAAAGTGTAGCGTAAACTTTTCACCACAGTCTGGATGTGAGAGTGCGGTGTGGAGTACTTTCTAACTCATGATTCAGATCATCAAATTCCATGAGTCTTGTCATCAGAAGGAAATCTTTACATACATTACAGTGTTATACACAGGCCACGCTGAAGCTGCATTAGGCTATGAACAATTGGTGTAATTTAAACAGGTTAGTGGTTAACTGAGCTCAACGAGGTGTCCAGACGGGGGGAAGTTACCTAAGAAACCAAGAAGAGATTGAGTTTATTAAGCCGAGACAAATTATTGAGGCAGTGAATATTTATCAAACACTGTACCTGCTTGAGCTCGGTAATGTGTTATCTATCTAGCAGAAGGTAGCAGGCTGGCTAATGTTTACAAGCAGTAAACCAGTTTCAACTTGGTTTAACATGTCTTGGTCTGTAAGCTTGGTACTGTTACCTACTTCAGTGCCCCCCTTCCCCCTTGTAGGGGGCTCGGTTGTTTTCCCAGCCCCGGAAACGGCCCTCAGACCGTAATCAAATCAAAATCAAGACATCAACATCCCAAGCTGTTGTTTCCCAAATTATTCCATCATCTGGAGAGTCAGGCATGAAGCTACAGCGAGTGAGTCCCAGCGCATTAATGTGTATACATGGTTAGTGCTGGAACCCGGTGTTAACCTCGCTTCCAGGATAGCATTAACTGTTTTGTGCGAGTGTGCCTGTTCTCAGAGCAGCACTCAGGCTCTCTGCAGCATTATGTAATCCCCGACCTTCCGCTTCCCTCTTTATAGCCAGTGGTTTTTGGCAGACGTGTGTCTTAGCAGGAAGGGGGTGTTGGTTTCGACCTGTGGTTACAGCATGGGTGACAGCAGTTTTCAAGGGGGTTAAGTGGTTCCTGGTTTCAGTCTGATGTCTTTATGGAGATATTTTCTGGGGTTTTGCGTGTGTGTGTGTCTGTGTGTTGGTGTGTTGTGTCTGTGCGTGTGTGGGTGTCTGTGTGTGTGTGTGTTTTTGCCAGCAGCCTAGTGTACGATTGTCAGCCAGAGAAAACTCATAGTATCTGCATGTCTCCTTTCAGGGTCTGGCTGCTGCGACTGCTTTAATGGATAGATGATGCAACTCCCCTTTCCTCTCTCTACCACGCGGCTGTGTGTGTGTGTGTGTCTTTTAGAGCGAGTGAGAAAGAGACATAGAGAGGGGGATGTCGCTGAATGAAGCTTAGCCTGGATGTTTGCCCTGCAGGGTGGGTGGTTGCTCGGCAATGGCAGTGTGTTTGTTTTATTTTTAGAGAGAATCACTGCTGGTGAACATAACAGATTTCTCTTTCCCTCTCACACGTATACGAACACGCTTTCTTACCGTACATTAACACATACCGGCTACTTCTGAGCGGCAGTAGCTGGCAGCGAGAGCTTGACGGAGGGAATTCTGTTTATACAATCACGGAGCAGTAAAGCAGTAGAAATGTGAATGGCGTAGCCCACTGCCCCACCCTGGACATGAAATCTAAACCGGCCTTGTGTATTTATAGAGCTTCTTTTTCTCGCACATAGACTACGACACTGCACACATGCGCAGAACAGACACAAACACACACACACATACACGTTCCTCTGAAACCAGCTGTAGTCACTCCTAGCATGTACCAGCCTTTTTTGGGCACATGCCTGTCATGCCGTGTGTGCGCTCATGTGGGAGGTAATGCGGAGCGAGAAATCAATATGTTGGAGAAAAAAAAACAAAAACCCCGGAGCTGAGGGTGCTTTCAGTTTTTATCGCTTTTGTTATTGATTTCAAAATCTCACGAGTGCTACACCAAAGAAGCAATGTATACTGTAAGTAGCTCCGTGCTGCAGTAGTTGCTGACATTTAGGTCAGAATTGATTGGTATGAATGGGAAAGTATAGAAAGTACAGGTCAAAAAGAAGGTTTAGTGCTTTTCATTTCTTGTAGTTGAATGAGGGAGAATATTCTGAGTTCTCTTACGAAATTTTCTTTCCAACCGCAGCTCACACCAACTACATTTTCATTTCACTTCAAACTTGTCAATCAACTCAAATCCTTTGTGTCTATACGGAAAGCTTTCTCTCTCCTTTATGCATCTGAATGATCCCAGAGCAGCTTGAAATATTAGGCGATGAGACAGCCATTTCTGGCCACCTCTGTTAGTGCGTATCATGCTATCACAGACTCCCAGGGACCGAACCAGCACAGAAATCCACTTTAGAAAGCAACGTCATCCAGCAAGGCACCGCGTTGGCCGACGCTGCGATAACTTTCCAGAGCAGTGAAATCCCCGATCAGCTTTCAACGGATCTGTTACTCAAACTGCACTTTCTGGATTGTATTTTACTCTCTCACCAGTACCTGAACTCCATCCAACACAGCTCCTTGAACAAAGATGCTGTCCCCCTGCCTGACTGTATCAGCATCCATATTCAGCCTTTTGATTGTGATTCATGGTTAGAGAGGGTGTATGGTCGTCAGAAGAGAGGCAAAAACTAACCCTCAAAGACAGATTTCATTCCCTTTAAGCTCTTGGCAGGTGAGCAATTCAGAACTTCATGATTCGGTAATGTCACACTCTGGCTATATTCAGCCAACAAGTTAACTAATGGTATAAGTTACCTTGTGTTAGGAGTGAAAGAGGCTCTGTGTGCTCAAAGAAGCTTTACAGCTGCAGCGTAATCCTCATCTCTGCGGTTCCTCCTCTGCTATCTTTGTCTTGTTGTCAGGATCTCTGGCTCTCACCATCCATTGAGTAATTAAAAGCGCTCTGTAATCACAGTATGAAGCAGCCTACTGAACTACTGACACCAAAAACTGGTGATTTACAGAGGGATTTACAGGACCTGGGATATTATTATAGACAATAGAGTATTATGTGATCATAAATGTGACAAAAGGAATCTCTTTTACTCACAGTTGTAAGGTTTTAAACATTGAATTGAAGAAAATACCTGTGTACTGAGTTATGGTGGGACAAAAGCTTACAATAAGAAATGTGAATGTGACCGAGAAGTAAATCAAATTCTGGATTTTCTCTTGATTGCTTATTTCAATTTATGTAAATCGTGGAGTTAATAACAATATGATGTGTAACGAGTTCTTAACTTCTACTATCACAATAACAAACTACTTTTAAAAACGTGAATGAGACCTGATGTGACCTATATTCTAACTAATATTGCCCAACCAGTATCAAACAATATTCCTATTTGGGAGTTTCTAAATCCAGTAACGATATATATTGAGTGATAGATAAATTATATGACGATATGATAAATAATTTGCATAAACTTCTTAATCTTGATGCACGTCCCTTAGATTTGATTTTTGAAGTAATTGCAACCAAAATATACCAAGACAGATGTTTTTAAAAATGAAAAATCCTTTTGTGCTCTCTGGTGGACAAACTATTAAATAGTGAAACTGTTCGAAATGACCTCAAACCTAGTTTTGCAATTTTTTGTTACTTATTGACTGACATATACACCGATCTGCAGTAGACTAATATTGGCAGTTTTATCAGAGCAGCTCTGTATACAATATATTTATGGTACAGGAGTGCTGTGATAAAAGGAAACATTACCTGCTTTGTCCTCGCTGCTGATGGTGTAACAGTTTCTCTCTACTGTTTCCTTTATTAATCTCCAGCTGTAGGCAGCAATGGGTGCATTCCTGGACAAGCCGAAGACGGAGAAGCATAGTGCCCATGGTGAGGGTAATGGACTGCGCTATGGCCTGAGCTCCATGCAGGGCTGGCGGGTGGAGATGGAGGATGCCCACACAGCCGTGGTGGGCCTCCCCCATGGACTCGCCGACTGGTCCTTCTTTGCTGTCTACGATGGCCACGCAGGCTCCCGGGTGGCCAACTACTGCTCCGGCCACTTGCTGGAACACATCTTGTCAGGAGGGGCTGACTTCAGTTCAGGACCCGGCTCCGTGGAGGGCGTGAAAGACGGCATCCGCTCGGGCTTCCTGAACATTGATGAGTACATGCGCAGCTTCTCTGACCTGCGGCAGGGCCTGGACCGCAGCGGATCAACAGCCGTGTGCGTGTTGCTCAGCCCGACCCACCTCTACTTCATTAACTGCGGCGACTCGCGGGCCGTGCTGAGTCGAGACACCAAGGTGGGCTTCTCCACCCAGGACCACAAGCCCTGCAACCCCCGTGAAAAGGAGCGCATCCAGAACGCAGGCGGCTCAGTCATGATCCAGAGGGTAAACGGCTCCCTGGCTGTGTCCCGGGCCCTGGGGGACTACGACTACAAATGTGTGGATGGTAAGGGCCCCACGGAGCAGCTGGTGAGCCCTGAGCCCGAGGTGTGCGTATTGGAGCGAGCCGCCGAAGGAGACGAGTTTGTGGTGCTGGCATGCGATGGAATCTGGGATGTCATGTCCAACGAGGAGCTGTGTGAGTTTGTCCGCTCACGACTCCTGGTGTGTGACGACCTGGAGAAGGTCTGTAACTCAGTGGTGGACACCTGTCTGCACAAGGTAAGCCTTTTCTTCCACATACGATAAACAGATATATATATATATATACAGACTTAAATCTAAATTCAAAATTTAACTTGAAAGGGAAGTTTTTTCTATCTTAGAAAATTGTTTTTATCTCAACCCAGTATCAAGAATTGTATCTAATCGTGAGTTGAGTGTGTCGTTACCTCCCTCCCTACATTTTGTCTAACGTTACTTAACAATAATAAATTATGCATAAATACTGCAATGTAACAAAAATGTATGTACGGTTTATTTAATAAAACTTAACATCTCACAGAGAGAGCTCAGATAAATCAGATCATGAATTATTCATCGCTTTTTATTCCGTCCTGGCGCATCGGCCCTCTCGGCTATTGATCCAAAGAAAAAGCAGGAATCACTTTTTGCCTCAGCTGAACCCAGCCACCAGTCCACATCTTGGACTTTTTACCTTCCATGTATCTTCTTATTTTGTGTGTAGAGTACTCCAAGAACCAGCCAGTGCACAGCAGTCTGGTTATTTTTACTTTACTGGATGGGTTATCTCAAGTAACAGCCACACGCTGTCATAAATCTCCTCCGCTGCCGCTGCCTTTTGTGATGTATGTGACACTGTACACTTACAGAAAGTTACTTTACTTACCACACTGACTTTTACAAGGTAATGACAAGGTGACTATCCAATGGTTTAAAGCCAGAGCTACATCTTGTCTGATACTGCGTGTCCTATAAATGTCAATTAATATGTGGTCCAATGTTTAGGCTATGGCCTCCAGCCAGAGGTTTCGCTGTTCTGTTTCTTATACAGCTATTGCAAGTGAATATTTTAGGAATGCCATTATCAATTATGCTCATCGGTCTGATTCTGTGTGGAAAAAACAGGTTTTCAGCATCAACCCAGCTGTTGTATTAACAGCAACCAGCCAAAAACTGGTGAACTATGAGAGTGGGTGGTAGAGCCAGTCCAGGTCCAGCGTGTAACATTTAGTGTGATCTAATGTTTTTAATCAGTGTGTAATAACCTGGAAATAAGAATAGTTGCTTTCTAGAATGAGCTGCTTTTATCTACACAGGGAGCTCTAGATAGGAAAACATTCAAAAAAGTTTATTTCTGGAGCGCACCGGGTAGTAGCTGGCAAATATGCAGTGTATTAAACAGTTTTTTACAGCCAGGTTGTTTTTCCAACATTTCTCTTTCTCTCTTTATCGGAGAAAAGATGTTTGCTTGTCTTCTGTCTGCTGTTGTCTCAGAGTCACAACCCATCTGTCTTTTATAATCCTACAACTCCACAAGAATAAGTACCGTAAAGGTGTCCTCCAATACTGAATGTGAGTTTTATACTCATGTATGTGTGTGTATCCTTGAGGTATAACAAATATTACGACCTTCCTCATAAAACATTTGCAAAGCCCCCAGTACCAACGGTAGTGTTTGCTGAAACAGCGCATTTATATACCGGCTTCCTTTTTACTGCAGGATTCCGCTTAAAATAAAAAAAAAACCTGTTTTTTTTATATATATATATATATATATATATATATATATGTATAAAAAAAAGCATGCTCTTGTGGCATGTTTTCATCTTTTTTCAGCAGCAAGTTCCCGCTTTTATTCTTGTAATCAGTGTTGTTTTGTCCAGTTTTTATAAAGTAGTGTTAAAGAGACCACAGGCTGTGACTGCAGTGATTTTATGGGTCAATTAACCAAACTTTTGTCAAGTCAAGTTGATGTTTAAAACCATTTTTGTGTTGCAGTAAAACAAAAAGAAAAAGATTTCCCTGTACAATTAACAACTGCAAAAATCTACCTTTTGTACAACATAGATTTGATTTGACTCATTTGTTCTGTCCTCCTTTCTGCAGGGGAGCAGGGACAACATGAGTGTGGTGTTGGTGTGTTTTCCCGGAGCTCCCAAGATCTCAGAGGAGGCTGTGAAGAAAGAAGAGGAATTGGATAAATACCTGGAGACCCGTGTTGAGGGTCAGCACATGCAAAACGTGTACACGCACACCTTCACGCGATCTAACATAACAGACACGGCTACAGTAATGTACGATTAGAGTCACAGAACTTTAAAAATGCTTTAGTCTTGATAGTTACTAAACTTTTAAGCTATCACTGGCTGATGTGCTTTATTTGAAACTTGTGTATTATTATGAACATTTAAGCGTTCAGTCCAGCAGCCGTTTCGATCCCTCTTTCAAAAAATGTTTTTTAAAAAGGTTAAGTGAAACAAGTGACCACATACTGTGCTCAGTTTCTGTGTACATAACCAGGACAAAATAAACATTCTTTAGGTAGTACAAATATTTGAACTTGGTCTGCTTCATAGTGGTGCTGCAAATGGTGAGCAGTGGTGTATCTGATTTTTCCACGGCTATGGGTGAATTCTCAGCCTTTGCAGAGGGAGCTGGAGGCTTAACACCTAAAACTTGGTGTCAAATATTCTATAACCTTGCCTGAGTATACAGCATAACCGCTCACAAACCCCTTGTGTACTTTTGTTTTGTGTGTAGAGCTACTGGCAACCTGTGGGGAGGCTGGAGTCCCTGACCTGGTGTCTGTCCTGAGGAGCATTGCCACAGAGAACATCCCCAACCTTCCACCTGGTGGAGGCCTGGCCAGCAAGTAAATGCCCAGAACAACATGCAACTGCATTTAATAAACATACTGTAAAATGCTACTGGACTTGACTATCCACAAACATAGTTATTTTCCTCCAGGATATTGCATCTTAATGCACGCACAGTCATAATTTAAGGTGTTGAACTGTATCCCCAGCTTTAAAAGTTGCTACTAATAACTTTATATTTACATAGCACATTTCTTAACATGGTTACCACTAGCTTAACAAGTTGCCAATATAAATAATTTAAGTTGTATAGCGCTTTAAAAAAGGACAGGAGAGATGATATTAAGATTTATGGTCTGTAACTAAAGAATATATTACTTATTAATGAATCTATAAGATTGTCAGAGAATAATGAAAAATGCCAACAAAGGCTTTCCACAGCTCAAGGTGACATATTTTATGTTGTTTTATTCAACCAACAGTTCAAAACTCAACAGATATTCAGGTTTATATAAGATATGACAAAGAAAAGCAGTAAGTCCTCACTTTTGAGACGCTTCAATTGGAGAACTTTTCCCCATTTTTGCAAACTGACTTAAACGATTAAGTAATGTAAGTAACATAATAATGTTCAGGAGATATAACCTCATACAAATCAGTTAAATGTCTGTTTAAATGTACCAGTTGTTTTACGATTGGTTTTATATTCATCCATGCAGATCTCCCATTTAACTGTATGTGCCTTGGGAAAAAACCTTTTTGATTGGCACATTTTCATGATTTCATTGTTACAGACCTTACACAAGCAACCGAACATGGATCACTGCTTAAAAACTTACAAACATGCAGATCTGCAAAACACTTTACTGTACACAGAGGTTCAGTAGTCTCTTTATGCATGAATAGCGGATACCCAATTATCGACTCAGTTGCTTTCTTATTTCCATTTAAATGTCAATCAATATGCATTTGCAAAGAATGAACAGAGGTCATGTTTGTATTAAGTTGGGAGTTGTTCTCCTCTCTAAGCAGCGAACTGTGTGCTGTTTGTGTGTTTGCAGACGGAGTGTGATCGAGGCGGTGTACAACAAGCTGAATCCTCACAGAGAAGAGGAAGGGGTAAGTTGATCACACTAAACCGTTCACCTCTCCAACCTTTCACTCCCTCTCCCCACCCCACCTCAACATGACCTCGTGAACACACACCAGCCCAGACAGGGACACTCTTTTGTACGTGTGTATGTATGTGTGAGAATGATGTGTGAAAGAGGGTGGAGGATAGACTTGACAGAATAACCTTGGCGAGCTCGATGAAACTCAATTGACTGCATTCCATGTTGAAAAGCATAGAAGCCTGGTTCAACCAGTTTCTATTTTATATTCATCATAGAGACAGGATATACAGTAAGACCTTGAGTAAGCCAAACCTACAGATGAATGACCGGATAGTACTATTGGAAACCTTTCAAGTATACTAACTAAAATATTTTAGTTTAGTGTACATCAAATAGCATTTGAAAAGATTCTCCAAACAACAAAAGTACGTCTTCTCCTCGTCCCTCATTGTAAAATGTAGATGATCTATGAACTTTTCTCCTTCAGCACATGAATGTGAGAACTTCTAGTGTCAGTCTCCAACATCATTATGCACAGTGAAGGTCAAACATCCCAGTGAAGTGACTATAAGAAAAACATTGAGTGCAGGGACACAGTGGGTAGCTGAAGTGTGTTCAAATTGCAAAGAAAAGCAGGTTTTGTGGTAAACTTTCATTGTCAAATTTATTGTGACAGACTGTCACCGGTGCTCTAAAATGTTTCTGGTTTCTACACACATTTTCTTCTATTCATTAAAAACTACAAAAATGGAAATGAATTCATGGTTATTGCTATCCTGGCTTGGTCATTTTGATTTGATGATCCTTTTTTTTAGGGAAACATACTCAGAAATATTGCATACCACTATGTATGTATATCATAAAGTCTTGAACATTGAACATTTCGGACGCTTAACGTAGCACAAAAATGATGTCACTAGATACATTTGAAAATAACCTGATTATGGAGAGTGATGCAGGTATAGGCAATATAAATCCTCTGCAAAGCATTTGAAAAACACAGCTATGAAACCTCAAATCAAATCCCAGCTTGAGAACAAAGCTAGGCTTATCAGTTTATATAAAATTCATACGTAGCCTGGGGGGAAATTTTACACCCAGCATCTTCAAGAAATAGCTATCAAGGCCACAGGAAGTTTACAAATGCTATTCTCATTCAAAAGAAGAGGAGCAGTGTGGAGTTTGATTACCAGCCTGGAAAGGTGGATGTGATGGAGGAGGTGTGTGTGTATGTATGAAGGGCACGTAAGTTTATTTGTCATATTAATGTCAGTGGAGTCTTGACTTGCAGGCTCTTTTCTCTGGGCTGTGTGGGTGCTGACAACCCCCCTCCCCCCCCTCTTCTGTTACACCATACAGCGAATATCACAAAGGGTTGTTGGTCACAGGGTCAGAGGTAGCGTTTGCATGGGCCTGTCCGACTGGTGCAAGAATGTCTCTTGACATTGTCACGCTAGTGTGTGGTAGATATTTGTGTGACAACGATGTGAGTATTGTGCCGCTGCTTGTTAGATGTATGTTGGTGTGTGTTTGACCATGGAGCGTGCCTGCAGAGTTTGACCCCTGGCGTGTCACCTCAGGCCTGTGCGGGGGGAGAGGAGGAGAGTGAGGAGGGAGGTGGCAGCACGGCGGCTCATCTGCTGGAGGCTCTGCGGCAGTTCCGCCTGCACCACCGGGGGCAGTACCGCACGGTGCTGGAGGAGTCCCTGGCCGCCCCAGAGGGGAGCAGGGGAGGGCAGGAGAATTAGAGGACGACGGCGATAGACAACGACGACCAGCCGAGCAGACCGCTCCCCCTCCCTCTCCCCCTTTCGCCCCAGCCTCCCCCGCCACTGCCGAGTCGGAGGGCAGCCAAGATGCGCCCGCCCCCGAGTCCAATCCCTCCTCTGACTGAGCGCTCTGTCCGCATACCCAACCCACCCATCCGACCCCAGAGCTCTAGTCAGATGTGCTATGACCTCTCCTCCTCTTTCCTTCATCACAGAACTTGAATGGACATATCGGCCACTTCCTGCTCTATCAATAGTCTGCCATTGCCATTCATTAATATTTTATTAATGCAGTGGAAATAAAAATTGGCCCTTCTGTCTATTCAAACGTTCCCGTCCTCAGAGCCACAAATATATCACCTTTTACTACCTAATTGAGGACTCTTTCCTTTTGCTGTTGTCTGTGTTCTGTGTCATAGTGTCATGTCTTGTGTGTGTGTGTGTGTTTCCCCTGTCCTCTGAACACCCTGGCTTGGATCACCTAACTTGCCAGCCACTTTTACAACTTGATTACACAGGCTGATGTTTACAATAGGAAATAATCAATAACAAGTTATTATTACATGCAAAAGTGGCTGGTGAAGCAAAAATGAACCTTGCACACGATGGCCTACATTTACCAGTATTGGCTTCTGGCTGATTTCCCACTTGAACCCCCTCCCCCCTCCCCTCTCCTCCTCCCATATCCCCGGTCCTCTGCCCCACTCCTGCTTACAGTGGACGAACTGACAAAGAAAAGGAGAGGAGACCCTCTGAACTGCAGCTGTGTCCAACACACACTGCAAAGTCTCCAGGCCAACTTCATCTACAGACTCAGAACACACTCTTTTGCGTATATGTATGTATGTATGTGTGTGTGTGTATGTGCGTCTGCATGAGTTTGAGTGACCGAGCAAGAGACCAGTCATCACTACTGAAATTTCTGTTTTTGGTTGCGGGTGATACTTGAGTTGTTAGCCCATTAATCAGCATGTTCAGCGATGTAAGGTTGTTTAAAGCAGTCTTGGTACTGCAAAACAGAGGGACACTTGTGTAAGTGGGTTGGTGGGTGTGTACTTAGTAGTTTGAGCTTCATTTCATTAAAATCATTCCCTAATCACATATACCTAATTCCACATCATCACATGTGTTAGCATGCTGCCTCACACTCACAAAGAGGTTGAAATCTGTCCCTGGTTATTATTCAGGGGGAATGTAAATGTGTCAGTAAACACACTGGGACCAGGTGACCAAAGGGGCCATAAAATTAATGTGTTTAAATGAAAATAAGACTAAAAGACTGTAGCCATGGTAGCAAGCCTGTAAGGCTATAATGCTCATTACACTCTAGGAAACAAAATTATTGGATGGATGGAAAAACAAAGAGAAACTTTCAGTTGTGGGGAAAATGGTGGCGCCAGACAAAAGGTCACGTTTCCAAAATAATGTTTCCTTTTTACAGTGTTTTATTTGTCTTAGACATACAATATCTACGTCGCACTACAATGTGTGACGTGGTATAACTTTAATATCTGTCTGTGTTAGTAGTAAACTGCTGTTAGCAGCTCTAAATCATGATGTAGCCCTGTTTGGGAGCGTATTATCCACAGCACGGGACACCGTCCTGGATGGTGCCATAGAAAAACTCACGGATGTAGCTGTGCACTGGAGGTGTGGCAGGTAACCAGATGTAAATTTGCCAAAACAAACAGGTAGTCTTGAAGTATTTTCTCTTGTAAAACCTCCCAAAAACTCTTTCAGACAAAGCATAAATGTCACCTTTGTGTGCCACTTGTGGAAGTTTTTTATTATTATTATTATTATTATTTTTTAATTTAGTGCACCTCAATGAGGCGGAGAAGATGCCCCACTAGCAGACTTACTTGGACATGCGAGGCAATTTATTTGAAGTGTTTTCGAACTGTATTTTCAGTTTTACAAAGGACTTCAAGGGGAGACTAATGGGTTGTTGGCAAATGGCGAATGCACTTCTGGTTAACTTCCCCACGTCCGTTAAAGAGCAGCACACAACTGCTTCCCTGAGCTTTTCTATGGAACCATCTGGGAGTTTCGAAACAGGGCTGCTGCTGATATACTAATATACTAATGTTTGCATGATAAAATGCCTACGTGCCTGTTAACAACTACTGGATTTTAAATGCTATTGAAGACATGTTAGCATGATAACTCTAGCTGTTTGGAGCCGAATGCAAATGTCACCGAGGGTAACACGCTATCAGTAGCATTCATCTGAAAGCACAGCTGAGTTTAAGAGCAGCACATCTCAGGCCGATGAAACTCGAGTTAAGTGGAACTGTGAGGGGCTGAACTCGAGAGTGTTAACATGCCTACAGTTAGCATGTTAGCACACATGTTGCTAGTTAACGTACTAACAGTTAACATGTAACATTTAATATTTGGCTTGTTTGCATGCTCTGTATGAAGTGTTTATCATGTTATCTTGCTATTATGGGAACGTGTATTATGTTAACATGCTAGTGTGCTATGTTATCATTCATGTGTAAGGTGGCTGTGGCTGGCAGGCATGCTGTCATTAGTTTCAGTTTCATGAACTGAAGTGTCAGACAAACAGTGGGAAAGTTGACCTGATGATGGCGCTAGATGGGGGGATTAGGACCACAGATGTTTCTTCTAAATGTCAATCCATCCAGTAGTTTTTAAAATATTTAACTCGGAAGTGTTAAATATGTGGCAGGATGTATTTCAGCTTGGTAAAGGCCCAGATACAACATATTTCATTTCTCACAGGTTATGTCTGTTCAGAACAACTCAATCTGATACTTTACCTTATTGTGAAAGCTTGATTCGAACAAGACTTGAACCTATAATGTTTATTCTTCTTCTTTAAAAGCAGGTAGAGGAGGTTATTCTAAGTCTGTATAATGCCCTGTGCCTCTGATAATGCATGCACTGCACTTATCTTTTCAATATAAGGCACTTAACTATTAGAGGGGAGCTTACGCTAAACACTGTGTGTATGTATGTGTGTTTGTGTATGTATGAGTTGTATTTGTATGCGGTTACGTTGGGCCAGATCAGTCCCACACAGTTATAATGACAAATGAACAAATAAAAGTGATTTGAGGTATAATGCTATGATTTGTGTCGAGTGTATGAGTATATCTCTGACTGCACAGCTGTGTTTCCTGTCTTTGTGTCTTAAATTAGTCACTTTGTTAATGTGTAGGCCAGGTTTGTTATTAGGGATACAAAAAGCAGAAGACAAAAGTTATATTTTCCCTTCAAAATGAGTTGTATGTCAGGACAAATCATTAAAATCCCTGACAGAGCCCGAGATAATATGACAGCATTTGATACCATATTTCTTTACATTCGATGTTGTATATGTTTCTCTGTAGGCTTGTGAAGTGTTTTGGGGAAAAAGCTCAAGCAGAAAATAAATCCTTACCTTCCTTGCCCTCCTCTGTCAGCTCTTAGCTCTGGTCTTGACTCGTAATTTCATCTCGGCTGCTTAGAGACATTTTAATCTGTCGTCTCCTTTAAAACAATAGCACCTCTCAAGGTTCGAAAAGCTCAGAATAAACGCCTGCCGCTGCATTGCATGAGCTGGCGGCAACGAGCGGAGGGGATCTGCGTAGACTATAGGGACTCCGTTCTCTCCATTTCTCCCCCTGTTTTTCAGTCTGACAGTTGGCCTCGTGATTCTCTGCAAGGTGAGTCATCAGAGGTCTGGGTTCTGGTTGTGTTAACGTACAGGCTAGGCAGGGGAATCACTGTCTTTCACCATTATACATTCAGTTTGAGTAGATAAAAAAAAAAAAGGCAGTGAGGTTCAGAAATGTGACATTATTATAAGCTATCAGGAGCTGTGAACTACTGTGTGCAGAGAAAGACCAGCAACAACAAAAAAAAAACCTAACGCACCTCTGTATCCGTCTCTTTTCCTTTTTACCCACACAGAGTGCCTGTGAGCTGGAAGACCCCTGGTAGCCGTGGCAACGACCCCCGTCTCCTCCTGGTGATCGGTGCATCCGCCCCAAAAGGAGGAGTGTCTCTCCATTGCGCCATGTCTTTCTCCACTAAAAAGAGGACATGTGGTGTGTGTTGGAGTGCGTGAGTGTGCGTATGTTGGTTGTGCATGTGTGTGTGTGTGTGTGTGTGTGTGTTTGCAGCAGTGGGACAAAGACGACAACGACAACAACTACACACACACGCGCATACTGCTTTAAAACCTGGAGGAAAAACAAAAATCACTTTTCAGAAATGTCAAGATTTTATGAACTGAAGCATTGTGATGGTAGAGATGATTTTTACCATTGAGGTGTTTTTTTGTTTGTTTCTTTTTCTTTTCTTTTCTTGAATGTTGACATTGAACACCTGACTTCACAATGACATGAGGACCTATAGTGTGTTTGTGTGTGCGAGAGAGAGTCTGTTTGTGAGAGCAGGGCCAAGAGAAGCCAGACGGTGGATAAAGACTTTGTATGTAATTCTTCTTCTCCTGGACTTTCTTTTCTTTTTTTTTTGTGCTCCTGGGTCTGATAATTGCCTAACTCCTTTTGCTTCTGCCCTCTTAAAAAGACACACACACACTCTCTCTAACACACACAGACACAC